ACTAGGACAATTTGAATGGCCCGGATGTCATATGGACTCAAAAATGCACCACAGATCTACCAGCTACTTTTGGAAAACGCGTTATACGGTTTCCAACGTATCTTCCCAGGAACCAGCTTGGATGATCCAGAAGATTTGTTTGAGTCGGGGGAACCAGACACGGAGTCAGGTCCCTCGATATTGGGTCGTCGGTCTTACATAGATGACATACTTGTACCCGCTAAATCTCGGAACGTGTTTTTCGACAGGGTGGAACGAGTGCTGGACGTATGCGACTACTACAATTTGTCAACTATTGAAATCATGAGATCGTGGGAATGTCAAGTGGACGACTACTCGGCCACCGGGTATCCAGAGAAGAATTGGAAGCCCAACCAAAGGACCTTCAAGCACGAGTCGACCTACCTCTACCAACATCTCTCAAGGTCATGCAGTCGTTCATCGGAAGTCTGAATTACTACAGCATGTTAATCGAGGATAGTACTATCTTTGCGTCAACCTTTACGAGCTGGAAGAGATAGACCTCCACGGGTGTCGATGAAAGTTAAAAGATGGTCACCACTCAGTGACTACGGGGGAAGATTGAAGCGAAATGGTCTCGAGTTCAAGTGTCTTTTGCTATGCTCAAGAACAAGATTGCTACAGCGCCTATTTTGCGGCACTTCAAAAATCGAAAAAAGTGGTGATAATTTTTAAACGCGAGCGAATGAACCATCTCAGCGTTGTTGGTGCAGGACTATGAAGTCGCATTTGTTCCAGTGATCTTCATGAGCCGGGCACTCAAAGCCAACGAAGTGCACTACGGTGGAGAAAGAAGTGTTGGCGTTGTTGCGGATATTGGAAACTTGTTCTGAGATTCTGGTCAAACGACCTCTCAAAGTATTAACGAGACACTCAACGATGGCCTGTTTGGTCCAATCCTCTGGATTGCCGGGGCTTTTGAGTAATTGGGCCTCTCTCTTGTCCCAGTGGACATTAGAATTGTGAAGTGCAATAAAGGCAAAGATTAGGTGTTGGGGCGTTAGCAGCCAGTACAACCCCCCCGCGAGAGTGTAGACTCGATCATATCGGCTATCGCAACCAAGAAAGAGGTGGAACAGAAGATTTACCTACCTACCTACTACTACTGTGGAAAGAGACGACGAGCTACATGTACTGAGCTTTGATGAAACGGCTTGTGTAAAACAAGAGGCGCTTGTAGACCCGTCGTATGGATCCTGCCTACGTGGTCAGTAGTAAACGCTGCCTCCATACATCTCGAAGAAACCAAGGTGAATGAGGCCTAATGTAGAGGCATGTTGCTGAAATTCGAGTTGTTAGATCTTTGGAACAACGGCGACTAAATATCGGTAATCCTCCAATCTAATTGTCCAGTAGATGCGCGGGAAAATCGATTGCATAGCGTCATGGCTGTCTCCATTGCGTTCAAGAGCTCTGAGCAAGCTTCAGTCGTGGACTTCCCACGAGATAATCCACGTAAAGCGTGATTAAAATCAGAGTGCTGACTAGCTGGCTAGTTCGGCATTACACCGACAAGGAGTAGTCGAGTTAGTACCGAGCAAAGAGTGGTCAGGGTTGGAATTGATCAACCGACTGCCAGAGCTGTTAGTCCCCAAAGACGAGGATCGGACGGTAAGATTATTCGCGGTGACCCGATCAAGGCCATCCATCAAAGTATCCGGCGAAAAGATGCAAGAAGAGGTGGTACAACAGCTTCGAGTGGAGCGTATTCGGAAAACTCAAGAGGAGGAGAGCTAGATCATGGATCTAAAGGCATATTTTAAAGGGTACCTAGGCGGTCTATCGGCAGAATCGGCGCAGTCATGATGCGAAATGGCCAGAGATTATGAGGTCAGTAAGGAAGGATTACTGGTAAAATGTCCCGTCCACAAGACCGACGAGGGCGACCGAGAAATGACCGCCCGGCTAGTGATCCCCGATCTCTCCAGACCGACGTGTTGCATCACTACCACGCTAGCCTGGAGGGCGTTCATCAAGAGGTCGGACGATCCTGCTATTGGATTCACCGATATTGCTATTGGAGAGGCTAGTTTCGAAGTGTGCAGCGGTATGTGTGATCATGTGCGGATTACGAAACGGTAAAAGGGGGACATACCCTTCAAGGAAAATCCCAGGCAACGTCGAGACGACCTACCTTTCCAAGTCAGAGCAATGGACCATGTCTCCTCGTTGCCCAAGTCACCTAAGGAAAACACTATACTCTTGATTTGAGTCGACTTATTTACGGGGTATATGATGGAAAAGGCACGTTCTTTACGAACTGCTTGGACGGTAGCCGAAGGGTATGGAGAATGTATTTTTCGGCGTTTTGGTGCCAGCGAGGTGATCCGCCATGATCGGGAACCCAGTAGAATATCGGAATACTTTTAAGCGTTCAATCGCATGGCGGGTCAGCGTCAGCGGTCGACGATGGCTTACCAACACCAGGCGAACGGCACCGCGGAAAGAATGGTCCAAAGCCTGACGAAATCTATTAAGACGTATGTCTCAGATGTGGCGCAGCAGGATTGGGACGAATACGCAGAACTGCTAACATTTGCACTAAACACGATAGGGTGCGAAAAGTGACACCGTTCTATTTGGCTCACGGGTGGGACGCTAGAACCACCCTGGAAGCAACATTGCTTGTGGTGAAAACCAGATGTAAGCGGTCGGAAGCTAGAAGTTGGATGTATCACATACAGAGTCACTACCGGCGTGCAAGGGAACTAGTAAACGAACAATTGCGGTCGGCCTGTCAAACCCGAATTCTAACTTATAGTGAACAAGTGGTTGGTCAGCAGATTCGGCCGTGTATCAAAGCTTGGCATACCTAGATCGTGTGAATGAAGGGTACGCCAAGACAAATTGGCTCACCTCTGGCATGGTCCGTTCCGAGTTTTGAAGTTGATCGGTGAATATGATGCATGGTTGTAAGTAAGAGAAACGAAGTACAGATTATTCCTGATTGCTCACATCGCCAAGCTGAAAAGGGTTAGGGAGTTCCCAGATTGGCCAAGTGACCGGCTAACAGTGGACGAGGCCGACCGGATAGACTTTGACGAATGCTTGCTGCCGGTGGATAGCTGGGCGCGCGAGCTGGAGGAAGGCAAACACGAAGTGGAAGAGATTTTAAAAGGTTGTTTCAGCAAGAAGAAGCGTTACGGTCGGCAGCATCGTGAGTTTTTAATCCGTGAAAGGGGTCAAGCGGACCCCTCATGGGTCGACGAAGTGGATTTGAACTGTGGAGCTTTAAATCAAGAGTTTGAAAAAAGCGTGTTAGAATATAAACGTTTCGAGGTGAAGCAGAGTCACGACGACTAGTCGTGGGGAAGGAAACCAGTTGCTCGTTGGTCGGCCTGGTCGTCGGTGGATCGGTCATGAACTCCGTGAGCGACCCAAAGTTTTGAGACTAGCTAACGCTTTCTAAAAGTCGAACATGACCCAAAACCGGAGTGACTAAGCGTATTATAAGGTATACCGTGGTTTATCTGGAGTCGACCACAACTTTACATGGTAAATTAAAATCAGTGCAACGCTGGCTGACAAGAACAAGGTTTGGTAGAGTGGCTAATGAGCAACTAACGGAAAATGTGGATGTAAAACAGATTGAAAGAATGGTGCTTTGAACGATTACTCATACGAAGGAGGAACGAACTTGTTCTAAAGGCGAGCGACCTTGGTTTTTGAGTGGGGCTTCGAGGTGAGTCTGTACTGGGAAATCCATGGTCACGTAGAGTCCGAGAGATGAAGAGCAACCGACAGGTCGACTATGTCAGACCCCTCTTCACACCCAGCGAACAATAAACTACGCGTCGAGGGATAGGGCAAAACAAGTCCCATATGAAGGGATCCAAGAAGATGTCGATGTCACACCGATGAACGGCCATCCCTGCGAAGATCTGACCGACGATTCAACTCCACGTCCAAGGCGCCCTACTCCGCCGTTTTTCTCGGGCGTTGTAGTAGGAGGATAAGGAGAATCTTGTGCGAGCTAAATCTGCTGAGATCCGGAGGCAATGGGTAGCCTCCCAGAGCAACTGAGCTGAGCATGCTCAGTCTCAGAAGTCGCGTATACTTCATCCAGGTCAGCGAACATACTGACCACCTTGAATGACACAGGAATAAGAGGGACCTTGGCGGCCAACCAAAGCTTCGTAGCCATCAGGCTCCTGACCAGGGAAGGAGTGAACAGCGACATATTCTCAGACCTCTTCTTCGTTGGACGATCAAAATATACGTCTGGTAGGCCAAACCAACCCCAGCGTGGCTCCGATTGATCAGCTAGGTCGATAGGTGTCATGGTGACGGTTGACCAGGAGCTGAACAGGCCGACCGACCAAGGCGATTTTTACTGGAGGAGAATATCCTCGCTTGAGTCGAACTTGGGATCACGGCCTCTGGCAGAAGCGATTACTCGTCGTCCGACGTAAAGGTACTGCGAGTTGCTGGGTGGTCACCCGTCTTTCGAGGTAACGGCTTGGTCTCGGAATCGGATGACCCGAACATGTCATGGGTGAGAGACCGAGGATCAAGTCCTTCGGCACGGGATTCGTCGTGGCTGCAAGAGAGAGCGAAGACGCAGTCTTCGGCCGACAACGGGATGACTGAGATATAGCCATGGCAGCCTGGTTGTCTCGCTGTAGGAACTGAAGCTCAAGTTGGAAGATGTTGGGACGATCGACAATGCAGATTTCATAAAACGCGTGGGAACCGTCTCCTCTGCCAATGAAACGTCCGGGACGCTCACCTTCGTCCGCCTAGCCGGTTGGTCTGAGGTGCGGGTAGACGTCCGCAGAGGCCGCTTGCCGGCGGCGGGAGCAAGGGGTTGATCGTACGTAGTAGAGAGTATAGAGTCTTGTGGCAGCTCATGAGTGACACCAGGGCTACCCCTTAGAGGTTCGCCCGCGAAATTAAAGTGGCTGAGCTCTGCCACAAGAAGAGACATCCGACTGTGGCGAAAGTCGACTTGCTGTCGCCAGTGGTCGGGCAGCATCATCTCATGCTGCAGGATTCCAGCGAAGCTGCGACACGGGAGCACTAAAGTCACCAAACTCCCGTTCCAAGCGCTCAAATCGGAGTGACCAGTAATGTGATGATGAAGACATCACGGCCAATCGACTTTCACAGGCCTCGACATGGCGAGACAACGCCACCACACCCACAGGTGGTACACTCATGGGAAGACGCCCGCCGACGGGGTCATTCGGTGGGGCCGAATCGATATCAGAGGGAGCGGCACGGACAGCAATCACGACTAGGGGCGAATTCACACCCGAGGTGAGCTGAGCCGACTCCGCCGGTGGCGAAGTCGACGGCGTGGTCAGGGCAGCCTCACTTGCTTTCACCAACGATGACGACTCTGGACAAACGGGGATGACAGACGATGCAACAACTGGGTCTTCTTGGGCAGAGACTTCTGCTGAGGGTGCAGGTGTTGGAGACGCAGGAGGTGGAGCCTGATCCTCTGACAGTGAGTTGGATCCAGGTGAAGCCATCTCTGCAAGCACACGAATTAGACAATGACAAGATATCGGCCACAAAAGCAGGTGAGAGTTACGGGATTGGGGTGGTGAAGATATGCTTGTTTTTGTACCTACGTACAGTCTATCAAGTGCAAGGGGCGGCTGTGGTGAAGCAAGTACTCGAAAATGATCGACTTAAGGATCAACGAGCCAGACGGACATGGGACCTCACAGCAGGGAATGGGACTGGAGGCTTGGGGTCACATGTAAGAAGCGGCCGTTGTGTCCAACCGTGACGAGCGGTTAAGGTTACTGCCAACGGGGTCAAACCTACCAACAGTACTAGTTAAACGGTACCGATATGGATCGTTCTCAAATGCTTGTCGGTCGGCCAGGTAGCCTAAGGTGGACCTCGGTCACCTGTAGGCCGACCTGGCCACCCATCGGCCGACCTGGCCACCCATCGGCCGGCCTAATCACCCATAGGTCGACTTGGCCTCTCAAGGTCCGGTGGCAACTGGCAACTCATGACAGCGAACCCAGGTGCAAGGCAAGGATAGAGTAAAGGAGTTTAAAGAATAGGATAACATTAATTACTACCCAATTTGCGATCCAAGTAGCACGACGTGTCGTGCGCTAAGAAACTTGTAAGTCTACCGACCTGTTCCGGGCCAGGGGTCTATTTGTCCCACCCGTCGATTCTACAGTTGTCAGCAAGACACAAGCGTAAGTAGAACCCCAGGAAGTATATCGGCCTGTGGATTCGTAGAGTAGCACACACACACTCAATCTTGTATATTTAGCGGCCTCCATACCCTAGTGTTAAGGGAGAAGACACGTAAAGGCCAGGCAGTAAACACCCCTGAGACAAGTAAAGGCCAGGCGCCACCAGCACCTGAGACAACTCCTTATTAGACCACTCTCGACCAAGTCGATCGAGTGGCTGCCTACATTGGACCCCGACTGAAGCATATCCGCTCGGGGCCCCCTCAGGTCTACCTCCATCACGGCCGACGTCTGCATGATCATCGAGTCCTCCAAAGAGTGAAACCCGCCAAGCCGATGGGTACACAAGGTGAGTCAAGGTCCACAAGCGGCATCAGGGTACCCCCTCCGACAGTCGGCATTCCGGCACAGTGAGTGGTTTGGGGTCTCGTCAAACAATTACGAAAACTCACTCGTCCACAATTCCCACTACACGATTTTTCACTGTCACGGATGCGCCTGTTGCTAGGCACACCATCATTCCCGTTTTATCGATATCTCGCTCAACAGAGTTAATTCTACGAATCTAAATCGACTGGCGTCTATCAAAATTGTTCGACGCCCCACAGTCAACTAGGGCGCGAATTAGAATTCTACTTGTCGCTTCGATCTTTAAAGTGATCGGTTTTCCCTCATCACTAGGGGCAATAACACACAGTGACTGTGCGTTGAAAGCAATTTTCGTCAAGAGTCCTGCAAATTTTCTTGATGTTGCTGGATCAGCAGGGTGCTCCGCCCCTACTGTCCCCAACCAGTTTTTGGCGGTCCGACATGCTGTCGTGGTTTAGCGACATGGTCGGACCCGCGCCTTGGACCCTTCCTTGGCCAACGGTGGTAATCACATCCTGTCTTTGGACGTGATGCGGTGCTCGGGACACTACACTCATGAGCGTAGTGTCCAATCTTCTGACAGCGATGGCATCTTGCCGTTTGCTTGTGACTCAGAGAGCGACAGTTTTCGCTCTCGATATAACAGAGGTCCTTTGGTTCGGGACCTCCTGTTTCCTGTCGTCTCACCGGACGATAGTTTGACGAGTTATCCTGAGACTGTATCAGGCTAAAGTCCTCTTGTCCGCATACGCTATCGCTTTTTCCAGCGTATGGAAGTCCTCTCGGAACATGTAGGTCTTGACCGGTCCATCTACAAGACCATAGGGTGAAAACGGTGATGACCTTGTGCTCGTCAACAGGGTATTCCGTGATGCTACTCGCAATGTAACGTAGGTGCTGTGCATAAGCGTGCACATCACGCTTACCTTGGTTGAGCCTCAGGAGCGCAGAGCGTGCTCTGAACTCGGCTCTTGGCAGCTCAAACGTTTCTGTGAGCCGGGAATCCAAGGTCTCTAACGATTCAAACACATTCGGGTCGTGAAGCTAGAGCCCTAAGGCCCAAGTCTTTGCTCGTCCTGTCAAATTTAACAGGGCGAAGGTGACTTGCATCTCGTCACCCTCGATGTGACGGGCTCTGATTTCATCGTCTAACTCGACGAACCATCTCAAAATGGAATCTTCATCGATGACCTCGAACCTTGCGATGTCTATCTTCGTGGTTTCGGGTCGACGCGCGTGCGTTGGCCCGCCCATCGGATAATGAGATCCTTGCTGGTGAAGCAAGACTATTTTCGGTATTTCGGTAGCAAGCACCCCCTTGTAGGAACTTGTTGATAGCGGCATGTTGTTAGCATTTGTTTAGAGACTCCAACAAGCCACTGATGGCGGGTTCGCCCATGATCATACTCACACGGCCAACTATCTCCCATTCTGATTCACTCAAGTGGATGTAGCTTTCACGTGTGACGTGAAAGCTGTCGTCTTCTACGTCCAACATTTCATGTTGAACAGACACTAAGTAGTCATTGGACGGACTACGAAGTGCTACCGGGTGTTACGGGGCACCCTTTGTTTGGGTTGCCACGAAGCTTCACTTGGACTCGTACGTGCAGAGGAAGATAATCTACTTAAACCACTAGTTTAAGTAAAGGTAAAAAGCGAACTGTATTTAATATAGTTAAGCTATCAATATAACTTCACTCTTTACCTAACTATATTAATCTACATTGACGTATGACGACAACCTGCTCACCACTCATTACGCGCGTCTAGCAGCGATTGTATGTAATTTTAATGATACGTCTTACATCAACCAATCTTCGAGCAGCACATGAATAATATCTTAAGAGATAACATTCCTTCAATTTTACATATCTCGGGTAATATTGGCGGGAGACTGTCACGCTAGACAATATTTCTATTGACACCGTTAGATGTCAATATCATGTAACTGGCAACCCGTTACACTAATGGTTCTGATACTTTCCAGCGATTCTTCCTCGTTCAAGAAAGAAAACGCGGTCATTCAACAAGAAGACGGGAGATCAGCTGAGTTTTTTTCGCAGGTAAACGTAACCGGGCATATTATTTCAAATTTGATTTTTCAACGTTGACAAAGCGAGGAGACAAAATGTGTGCAAACTTGTGCTCAGGACGCCTGTTAAATTTGCAAATGATCGGACAATTGAGTTTGGATCAAGGCAGAAGGCCCTTCACTTGAATTAAAATGCGCCAGCTTACACTATGTCTGACCTGCATCGGACTAATGTCAGGTTATGCCCTTCTGCACAACGCGACGTCAAAAGTTGAATCAGTGAATGACGGCATTACTGCTGCTATTACGAGACGTTGCCATCTACCGCCTACAGCACGCTCTAGCATGTGACGAACATGGTAGATATGCTGCATCTACACCCATACCTTAGCCACACCGGGCTGGATGCAAAGCCCGCCACAATTATCATACCAAGGTAGGAAGTGGAGAACATTGTGGGAGAGGAGGATACTGAGATGGGGTTAAAGCTCTGGAGCCGGACTGAAATTAAGGTCAAACAGCATTGCAATCCGATGGCCGTTGAGGAGGTTCTCACCCCTGTACAAACAGGCATGAGTGTTCGTCCAGGACACAATAATCACGTAACTTTGGAAGCAGTGCAAAGGTGGAGGAAAAACAAAGAAGGAGCTGTAGCATAGGAGGAGGCATTTACAGACAGATCTAACGAGTCTGGAAGATTACCGCTGTAAATAGTGTCTGTACCTTGCTCAATCTGTTCCGGGAAGCCCACTGTTCTGCCTAGAGCTGCTTTGAGGCCTTCAGGCTGACATTTGCAGTGCCAGTACCACACAAACCACGTCAATATTTCATTTAAATAGAATTCCTCCCCCCCATCCAGTAAAAACCTCCCTCTATACACATCGATTCGCGTGTCAGCTATGCGCGATAAGTCATAAGATGACCATAGAACGACCCTGGTGGACGTCCATCCTATAAGTTCGCGAAGGTTATCAGGTATCGGGGAAGCATGCATCGGAAGAATGACTGTGCGTGTAGGTGTACCTGGAGTAACCCTAGGTGTACCTAGAATCACACCATAATCTGCGCTTCTCTTGCGTGACCGTATCCTTTTGTTTACGGCAGCATCACTCGAACCCACGCGACTCTTTTCCCATTGGTTGTTATATGCCGCTCCTTCAATGTTCCAATCTCGGCACTTTGTGCAAAATTACCACCTCGCCGTAATTTATAACTTCATGCAGCGACTCGCACACTTACGTCGGCCATGGGGGCGTCGCGGCACGCGTCCGTCTCACCTCGCCAGCATCTTCAGTGGCTCTCAATCTTTGTCGGTTCTATCGCGTCACTACTCCAGTGCCACGTCACAGCTGTCTCCGTCCCGAATGAACGTAGCGGATCTCCTAGAAATGTCCAAACAGTTTCGCAGTAAACAGACGAATTATATCCACGAGGACAAGACGCTGGACGACGCTGTCCAGTGTCTCATGCAGAACGAGAACTCGGCGGCGCTCGTAGTGGTCAATAGTCAGCATCAGGTGGTGGGGCTGATTACTAATCGATTGGCTTTGCACCGAATCGTGCGGATGCGGTCAACAGGCGAGACGACGCAGTGGCACACAAGGGTAATTTATGTTGAAACGCGTCGACGGTTTTATTTTGCACTCGAGAGGCCGTTTCTGTAGTTTACGGTATTTTTCGAAGTGGAGGAAAATCAGCTATAGTTGGACTGCTGGATTAATTCAGGCCGCGTTTGCTGGTTGTCGTTGTTGTTGCGGTTGTTGTTACCCTAATTTTCTTCATAAATTGATTACTTGTCAGGTGTCAGAGGTGGCGATTCCAGCAAGGAAGATGCTGTTTGTATCACCTGAAGACTCGCTCGAAGATGTAAGTGGTTGTTGCTTGTTCAGACAGGCAGAGGAATATTATCGATTGGGAAAAACAAGTGTGCGTAGCTCACGGTTTCGTGAGGTTCTAGTGTCGAGCCGTGATGGCGCTGTCGGGTTTCGGCGAGCTGCCGGTGTTGAAGGGAAACAAACTGCTGGGCACGGTGTCGCTCACGGATATTGCGTCACTGATCCATCGCCACGATGCTCAGCTGAATCCTGACCCTTCGAGGTGCGTTGTGTGAGGTCGCCGATAGTTGACGCTGGACTGAGTCGTTTTCATTGCCTCGGGGTGGTTGTGTAATTCAGTGCCAAGTCTGACTACATCAACCTGATCCTGCCGCGCAAGGGGCTGCCAGCAAATACGTCGCTCGACAAGACCGTTGTGCAGAAGTATGAAATTGCTAGGTTGTGGCACTGTTCTGCAGACTAATTGGACCTGTTGGTTTTTTCCTCTGATGTCAGCAAGAACGCCCATCCAAACGACTGGACATTCTATTTGCGCTCGTTCGCTATGTCAATCCCGCACCCGCAGAAGAAAGTAACAGGTGGAGAGGACGCTTTCTTTTTGGGCGTCGTGCCTCGCAGAAATGCGGAAGAAAACACAGCAGCGCTTGCACCGGAGAACGAGTCAGCCAATGTCAATGTTTCTGGTCTATCAGTTGCTGACGGCACGCAGGGACCCGCAGACGTGCTGGCGCTGGGAGTTGCCGATGGGGTGGGCTCGTGGTTCGAGAAAGGGGTGAGCGCACGGCAGTATGCTGAGGAGCTCATGACTTCTGCACACAAGGCTGTACAAGTCTCGTACGCGAGAGATCACGAAATCGAGCCTTCAGAAGTTTTGCACGCTGCTTGGTCCACAGTGCTACAGAAGCAAATCATCGGCAGCTCGACTGCTTGCGTTTTAGCATTGGACCCGGAACAAGGAGAACTGCATGCCATTAACCTGGGAGACTCGGGGTTCCTGATTATCCGCGACAAGGCATCGGATCTCGAAACTGCGCGATTGCGGGGTACGCTAGATGGATCGCTGACGCGTAAGATCATCGACCGCGAGCAGGACCTTACGCCAGCTGGACGACGGAAAGGAGCCCACGTTACATACCGCTCACCACAGCAATTGCACTACTTCAACTGTCCTTTTCAGTTGGGCTTTGCGGGTGCCGACCTTGTGAGCGATGTAGTCGACGATTTGGCGCGTGGAACGTACTCACCCATGCGGGAGAAGCCGCTTTTTGAAACCCCGGAGAACGGAATGAGACTGCGGGTACCAGTGCTTGAGGGGGATCTTATTATTCTAGCCACTGATGGACTCTTCGACAACGTGGACGAGGAAGATCTCCTTGAGATAGTGCGTACCGAACCCGACCTGGAGACCATGACGCGCAAGCTCGTACACAAGGCCTACGCTTTGTCGCTTGATCGAACGCGTGACTCGCCTTTTGCTCGACTAGCCAAGGAAAACGACTTGCTCTGGGGCGGCGGTATGCCAGACGATATTACTATCATTGCATCGCGAGTCATGAAACACGAGTCAAAAGAGGAGATGAGAGCTGAGGCCGCTGCAGCAGCCAGCTACTGAAAGAAATAGTAGCATGCTGTCAGTGCACAGCAGCTTGGAAAAGAAAAAAAAAGACACGCGAAACTTACGAGTGTCGTTGCCGTGGTAATGTGTTGAAATTCGAGGAACAGCTGCTTACACTACGCCTCATGTGGCTGTGTCAGCAATCGGCACTTGCAACGCTGATAAGTCTGCTTCATCTGTAACACCTGGATCCATGCCTTGGCCATTTAGTGCTACACCGTCGTCACCTAGTGCCACGCCTCCACCGTCCATGTCTTGTTCTTTTTCGTTGTCGTCACCACTGTATTTATCATCGTCAAGCTTACCACCGCCAACATTGTCAACGGGTTGTAGGGTATCTTCCAAGCATGCGTCGCCATTCTTCCCACTTTCGCAGCATCTGACGTCATCGGTCGTAGGTCCAGCGTGTTGACTCTCGCTGTATTGCTCGCATACCAGCGTTTCTTTCACCTCCTCCTCTGAAATAACAACAACGTCATCATCATCATCATCATCATCATCATCCCCACCAGCAAGTGTCTCGCCATCCTCATCCGCATCCTCTACTTCATCTTCATACCCTCCAGCTTCATCCTCTCTTTCTTCTTCAACATCGCCATCGTCCAGTACCACGGCGTCCTCATCCTCATCAACACTATCATCATTATTATCATCATCGTCATCAAGTACGACTGGCGCTTCTGCCGACGACCCCCTCGCGTAAAAGTCCCTTATCCGAACAGCGTCCCTCACCAACGACAACGCCGATTCCTGAGCACAGGCGTCCACCAAAATGGCATCTCGTGCATCTTCGTGTCCGTACAAAAGCTCCTCTCCGTACTTTTCCAGCACCGTCAGACATAATTTGCTTCGCGTCGAGCCATCCAGCTGCTGCAACAATTGCCTCGCTTCTCTCTGATTCCGAGCCCGTCCAATAACCTGCGCCGTCTCCTCCTCTTCTTCCTCCTCCTCTTCAATGTCGCGATCACTGGACTGCTCATACCCGTCGCCATCTCCATCCTCTTCCTCTTCAGCATCCTCAACATCCACAATATCAATGCCACAGCTTCGACCAGCCAGCACCTTCCTTTCCTCAGCTACCTCTTCCTCTCCCTCCTCCTCCTCTTCTTCTTCTATCCACTCAATCACCTCCTTGCTTCTCCCTGTACCCAGATCCACGCTTTCCATCTCCTGACTCCCGCTTCGCACGCGTGAATTCACCCCCTCGTCCATCGTCACCGTCTCCATCCCCTCCTTCTCTCCATCCACTACCAAGTCCCGAGTCAACTCCTCGTCGTCTCTCTCGTCCCTCTGCTGTGGAAATTCCTCCTCCTCATCGACATCCGGAAGCTCCTCGTCAATCCATTTGCTCTTCTTGACCAAAGGACGGACCACCACGTCACCGTCGATCGTCTGCTCACTGGATCCGTTGGACTCGAACTCCTCACCACTCGCGCCCTCGAAGGCGTCGGCGGCAGCGCGTTTGGCGGCCATTGAGAACGGCATCGAGTCGACTGAAGCGGCTGAAAAAGCACCGACGTCACTGGCAACGGACGCTGAAGACGGGACGGGCGCTGAAGACGGGACGGAAGCTCGGATACGGTCGGCCATTGAAACAGACGAGGTCGGTTAATCGGTCAATCGGTCGGTCGGTTGTCTACAATGAGCAAGTTACAGCAGCGGCAACGGACGCGACGACGATACTTTTGACTTTTGGTTTTGGTCAGTTGTGGTGGGACTGCTGACCTGTTGACGCTCGAAGAAAGAAGGAAGAAAAAGTAAGCGAGAGATAAAAAGCACTTGATACCATGGTCAAGTTTGACAAGTGGAGAAGGGTGGAGACTTTTGGGAAGGACTAGCCTAACACCCATTTTTGCTATCTTCACATTTGTCATACCGGTACTGATAAAGTGTCCATCGGTATTAGTTCATAGCAAGAATTTTATCTAGTGTACGAGTGCCTCCGCCGATAAAATTTGCAGTATCAGTACTGTTTCACAAATATGCTACTATTGCCTCCCAATCTAGTGTGTGCCGGAGCTTGATGTGTGTTACTCACGATACAGTAAGATGTGAACGTACTAATGGAAAGGTTACACCTTAAATTGTATACAGGAGTTTACGAGCTCTCGCAAGCATCTATGCGTATTCTTGGTCATTTCATGGGGCAATCGATGATTGTAAGGCACTACTAGTCCGAGTCAAGTTTATGCACTTTATTTCACGTGTCCGACACTAGGGTGAGCTATTCAATGAAAAGAGAAGTTGCTAAGCACAACCTTGTGCTCACCACAACACTCAGAACGGTTCTCCCATCTACAAATATCTCAACCTACGCTTTACTTTGATGGAGAAGAAGCCGGTCCTGACTGGTGTCAAGTTTCACAAATATGGTAATATTCATGTCCCGCTTGAGTTTAATGGCAGAACATGACCTGTAACGGGGCACCCTGAAGCTTGTACTGGTGACAGTACAAGCTACTTATTCTGATGACAGAATAAGGCGGTGCCTCGTAACTTCACGTACACTCGTACGTGCAGAGGAAGACGGTAAGAAGAAGCGAGTACTTGGTTAAAGTAAAAAGTAGAACTGTATTTATGATAGTTAATGTCTGCAATAAATCACTATTTATCTTCATCTAACTATGTCTAAATACAAAGGTGTAAATCAGTTATCTGCTCACCACTCATTGCGTGCGTCTGTCGTGGCGCGTCTTCGTTGGTTGATATAATGGCCTATACCAACCAATTAGGAACTACTCGTAAGTGCTACAGAATATTTGTCCTTATGACAATATTCTGAGAATATAACTCTTTTAGTTATATTCTATGAACAATTTCTTATAAATTGTTATGTAACGATTCACCCCGTTACATCACCCCCCCCCTTAACCATCAGTCACTAGTGACTGATTGACTAAATGGATACTCGTCCCAAATCATTTGGGACAGGGTTTGCACTTGTTGGTCCGCGTCCACTTTCCAACATCTCATCGCATGGTAAACAAGCCCATGCGATGCGCGAGCAAGGCCGCCGAGAGCGCGTCCGCACGTCTCTGTGCGGACGCCGAAGCAGAAACAACAGCAACTGATGTCTCATCGGTTGCTGAAGCGACTCAGCCTGTGTCACTTGGTGATGCAGGCGCTGATCATGAAGACACTCGTGTCTTCACAGAGTACGAGCTCGTTGTCTCGTACTCTCCTGATACGGATGACGGATCCGTATCGACGGCGATTGAATCTAAGCCGCCTGCCAAGCGTGGCATGGATGATGCTTTGCGTCGCAGCATCTTTGGTTCATCTGATGCATCAGATGAACCATCGCCGAAGCGAAGGCGCTCGAGGTCGCGAGACTCGGGCGCTAATAGTGGTGTCGGTTCTCCTATGGACACCACTTCACAGCGAGGTGCCAGTACTTCTGTCGGCACATCGCAGGAAGAGCGGGACCGCAATGTGTTGCGTCTCGTTCCTGAGAAGAAGGCATGGATGCCTTCCAAATCAGTCATGGATCACTTGTCGGAGACGACGAGTGATCGTTATCGAACACGATTGTTCGATTCGTCAAGGATTCATCACCTTGACCCCAGCGCGAAAGACTATCGCGCTGAACATGAATTCTTCATCGATGCTTTCTTCAGACATCGATGGTACAGTGGGAATCACAAACGTGATGGTCCCTCACTACTTCAGGCGTGGAACGCCTACATCCATAATCTCGAGGATGTAGGTCGTGACGCTTGGAACGACAAACTTATCAAAGCTCGTGATAAGTTTGAAAAGCGAACCCCGACAGGTGCACGCTACAAGCTGCATCGTCTGTCAAGGGAGAAAGGGTTACCCTGTCTCTCCTGGGGAGACCCGCGCCCTTGTTGTGTAAACAACTCTGCACGAGCACCTAAGGAGGCTCACCTCCTTACTAGCCCGTGGTGGCGCGTACGTATGTCTATTGAGATGTACAAAGGGATTGATAACCTGAAATCCCTTTACGACCGTGCCGGAAAGACTTTCTCTGGTGGTCCTTCTGCGGCACAGGATGTTCCGCATCGTACTGCTCAACCAGACCCAGTACGTCAACCATCAGTTGGGAGCGGGGCTCCCAAGTATCCCAGGACGGGGGATAGCCGCGCCACCGGACGAGATAACTCGTCCGACGTCCGTTCACGTCGCGGTGGTTCAACAGCTGCTCAACTAGATAGCGTTGGCCACCGCGAGAGTCCTCTAATGGAGCCGGAGGAGGAGGAAAGATGCTCTCTACACGATCATGGGGATCCGTGTGTTCCCGAGAGCTTCTTTGATCGCGTAACGCAAGGGTTACGCAACGATCTCGAACATGAGCGGGACAGGCGTCTCCAACTGGTGGACGCTGTCTTGAAGCATCGAGCTGAGTTTGCCTTTGCTCGGCTTGAGAACGATAGAGCTCTGACATCTCTTCGTGACGAGCTAAGGGTAGCTCGTGGGATTGTTGATCGGTCTCGGGATGAGATAGCTGCTCTCCAGACCCTTGTTGATGCCCACCATCGGGAGCACAAGGCTCTCTGCGAGATGCTTGAGCGCAAGGGCGTTCTTCATCGGAAGAAGCAGCATACCGATGGTACGGCTTAAGCTGACCAACGTAAAACGTGGGATGCGTTCGCATTTTACGTGGTAACTCGATCGTGTATGCATTGCCTAGGCGGTGCAATACACGAAATGGGCCGATGTACTTGGGTAGTAGTTTACTGCTACCCAAGTTAGTCACTACATGCTTTGGTAGATTAACCGTAGACAGTAGGACTAAGTCACCTTTATTAAATAAAAGAGTGTTTGCCCTTCCATTCTTGTCAGCGTTTTGCTTTTGCTTATCCACCGCTTCGGCGATGGAGTCTTGCACAAAACAGACTACCGTTTCACGAGCCAGTATGAACTCATCTGATGACTCGTTAGCTTCAGTGTGCTGTGAGCGCACTGCAGCAACATCAACCTTTTCTTCAGTGAGGGCTTCCGCACTCTCACTGGGATCATCTTCTTCAGTGAGGGCTTCCGCACTCTCACTGGCATCATCTTCTTCGATATCGATGTTATCGATATCGGCATCAAACGCAATGACTTCTTCGTCAGAGCGTGATGAGCGTGAACCAATTCGGTTTTTGCTCGCGCGAGTCCCTCCCCCCCTTAAACCAGAGTTACACTCTAGTAAGGTGGGTACACGCGGATGGCGCAAGCCATTCACGTAAAACGGTGTATGTGTCGTGGACGCATGCACCGAGTTGTTAATGGCAAACTCTACCATTGGCAAGAACTCACTCCAACTCTTAAAGGAGTGTACGTATCCTCGAAGTATCTCTTCAAGGACACGATTGGCACGTTCCGTCTGACCATCTGACTCTGGATGATCAGATGTTGACATCTTCAAGCGCGTTCCGAGTGATTTGAACACGGAACGCCAGAAATCAGCAGTGAATCGTGGATCTCTGTCTGATACGAGTTCACGGGGCAACCCATGAAGTCGGAAGATGGTGTCAATAAAGACACAAGCACAGCCACTTGCCGTGATTGTCTCTGGTACAGCCACAAGGTGTACCATTTTGCTGAATCTGTCAACAAATACGAGAATACCCGTATTCCCGCGTGCGTCTTTGGGTAACCCGAAGACGAAATCCATTGAGATGGATTCCCAGCACTCAGCCGGAACCGGTAGAGGCTGTAAAGGTGCACGCAGTGAAGGACTTGACTTCACTCGTTGACAGACTTCGCATGCGCGAACATACTTTCGCACAAACTGATACTGGCGGGGCCAGTAAAAGTCTCGACTTACCGTGAGATATGTTTTCTTCTCGGCCACGATGTCCTCCTATAGGAGCATCGTGATACTTCGAACATGATCCGCAAACGCAGATCAGTATCATCTGGAATGACAACACGTGGTGTGTCACCAGAAACGGCTGTATAATACAGTAAACCGTTACGAGTAGTGTATCGATCTGATGCAGATCGATACGCAGGCGACAATCGTTTCAACGATTCTCGGGATGGTTGGGAGAGATGTGTCAACAACTTCACTATCTCACCATCTTGGGCGTATGCCCGCCTCACATCATCATACAACGTTGTAGATGGGACTGAGGACGTCATAACCGCAACAGTGACTGTCTCACTGTTGGGTTTCGCGACTGTTTCAAAGTCGGGACGACGTGAGAGTGCATCAGCGACGACATTAAGTCGTCCTGGTTTGTACTCGACCGTAAAGTTGTATTCCGCAAAGAATGACAACCACCGCGCCATTCGTTGTGAAAGGTGCGGGCTGTTCACTGCCGTGCGTAATGACGCATGGTCAGTGTAAACAATGAAGGGTCTATCTCCTAATAGATAGACTCTGAACTTCGCGAGTGCATACTTCATGGCAAGGAGTTCCTTGTCATGCACTGGATAGTTCCGCTCAGCTGGTTGCAGCTGACGCGACTGATAGCAGACGACGCGTTCAACGCCTTCAAGATCGTACTGCATTAATGCACAGCCGATTGCGAAATCGCTGGCATCACAGACCACATGAAATGGCCTGTCCTGATCGGCTATTGCTAGGACTGGGGATTGTATCAAGCTCTGCTTGATACCCTCAAAGGAGCGTTGACATTCAGCGTTCCATAACCACCTCTCGTTCTTTTTCAACAAACGAGAGAGGTGCACAGTCATTTCGGCGTAATTGCGTGAATACTTATGCAAATACGCCGCTAGCCCAAGGAATTTTCGAAGACCTTTGACATCAACCGGCACAGGCCAGTCGGTGATCGCCTTGATCTTTTCGGGATCAGGACGTACACCGTTCTTACCAACGATGCACCCAAGAAGTGGTATTTCGCTTGCTGCAAATATACACTTCTTGAGGTTAGCATACAATTGATGCTTTCGCATGATTGTAAGAACCTGTCGGACGTGGTACCTGTGAACCTCAACGTCCGACTTTCCATCCATAGCTCGACTATGGATGAATACGTCATCGAAATAACTCGGCGCGAATTCTCGTATTGGTCTCAACAGATGTGATACACATCTGTTGAACGTGGCAGGGGCATTACTGAGCCCTTGTGGCATTACTAGCCATTCCCAGAGCATGCCGCTAGGCGTGCTAACTGCGGTATAGGGTATATCCCGTTCCCGCATAAGGATTTGATAGAAGCCATCCATCAAATCCATGGACGAAAAGATGGTACTCTTTGACATACCATCAATGATTACGTCCTTCCTCGGTATCGGCGTCTGAGCCGGTACCGTTGCAGCGTTCAATTTGTTGAACGCGTGCACTATCCGCCACCCTCCTGTTGCTTTTCGCACACAGAAGGTCGGAGAGCTATGCGGAGAAGTTGATTCCCTCACATGGCCCGCTTCTAAACGATCGGCAAAGAACTTGTCGATCGCAAGTACTTGTTCACGAGGCAGTGGCCACTGCTTCATGACACAGTACTTCGAGCCTGGTTTAAGCTCGACCTCGTGTCGAATACCTTTATCCTTCGGTAATTCGCACGGAACAGTTTCAGGGAATACATCCTTGAATTCAACCAAATCTTCGTAGAGAGGATTGTCTTGAGCGATTCCCACGATTGGGAGTCATATCGCTCAATTCGTGTCTTTCCATCTAGGACACTCTCGTCCATAGATGAACCATGAGAACTCTCTCGTTCTCAGTGAACACTGTTGCTGACCTTATGTCGGTTACACACTCGTCGTCAGCGACGAGTATGCAGATCTGCTTGACTTTGCCACTACGCAGATCACGCAAGAACCTTTTATGTTCGAACGTTGGCAACTGAGTGATCTCCGAAGTTAACTTTGGAGGCGCAATCAGATCAGGTGTATAAGCGCCTACACTTGATCCGTTATTGACTATGACATTCAATGTCTCTGTCATTTCCTGTGGACTTATTCCCTCAGGCTTCGAAGGACTTATTCCTTCGTCTTCCCGGGGACTTATTCCCGCGGGTTTCGGGGAACTTATTTCCGCCGTATTTGTAATCTTGGGACTTATTCCCTTTACTTCCTCTAGCTGGGGTTGCGCAACCACAGCGAGATCCTCTACGAAAGACTCCCCAGTCGATCTAGGATCATCGTTTCGCTTAACCTGAGCAATCGATTGTTTCTCTTTTAGATGCTTCCCGCTAGGGATACATCTTTGTCCCGGTCCACTCGATTTATTCGAGTGGTGGACCTTCGGCGCAGCCTGTGTTTCCTCACAGCCGCCGGAACTTTGCTCCGAAGTGTAACCGTTTGGTACACTAAGGTTTTGTGCAGTCGTACTAACGACCGTACCACAAGTGAGGCCATCGCACCCACTCGTAGTACATCCACACGCTTGTGGACGCTCCAAAACGTTCATCAGATGGCCATCTGATGAACAAGCGGCAGGCATCGTTACTGTTCGATGCTGCCAGTTTACCCGTGGTTCGTACCTTCTGAGCCACGGTATTCCAAGGATGACATCAAATTTGTCATCCAAATCCAATACGATAAAGTCATCGTCATATTGGGTATCTACTAGCGTATAGTGGATCTTCACTATACGCTTCATGACGGTTACGGATGCGCCTGTCGCAAGACGTACCGTCATCCTCGTAGGAGGTGTGTCACATTCACTGAATTTAAAGTGACCATCTTCTAGCGATTGGCGTCGCACAAAATTATTGGACGCCCCGCAATCGACTAGAGCTCGAAGGGACAACTTATTCGTCACTTCGAGTTTCAAGGTAATGAGTGATACCTCATTACCTAGAGCAGCAACGCACAACGTTTGTGTGTTGGGAGCAACCTTCATCAAGAGGCCTACAAATTCTCTTGACGTTGCTGGACCAGTAGGGTGCTCCGCACCTACTGATCCTGTCCGTTTTTTGACGGTCCATCCCGTTGTTGCGTCTTTGCACCAACTGCGGACCCTCGTCCCTGCCCTTTCGCATGGGTGGACGGTCACTACGCCCAGTATCGCGAGACACTGGACGAGGGGCACTACACTCGTAAGCGTAGTGTCCTGTCTTTTGATATCTGTTGCATTTCTGCAACTTCTTGTAGTCTGTAGAGCAAGCCTTCTCGCTCTCTACATAACAGAGTTCCATCGGCTCTGGACCTCCGTTGTCATATCGTCTCGGTTGACGATATGATGTCGAGCTGGCGCGAGCCTGTCTCAGACTGAAGTCTTCCTGCTCCGCAATGGAAATGGCTTGTTCTAGTGAATCTAGTTCAAGCCGGAACAGGTGAGTCTTGACGGGACCATCCGCAAGACCCTGCATGAGCACCGAAACCAACGTGTGTTCATCCACCGGATTGGAACTTATACAACTCGTGAGATGTCGTATGTGTTGAGCGTAAGCGTGCACATCACGATTACCTTGCTTGAGCTTCAAGAGTTCGGTTCGAGCTCTGAACTCAGCTCTAGGCGGTTCAAACGTTTGTCTGAGCCGCGACTTGAAGACTTCCAACGACCCAAACGCATATGGGTCGTGCAACTTGAGCCCCAGTGCCCAAGTCTTGGCACGTCCTGCCATATTTGACTGGGCAAATGCAACTTGCATATCCCCGTCGTCGATGCGACGCGCCCTTATGGCGTCACCCAATTCGACGAAATATCTCAAGAGGGAGTCCTCTTCGACTCCCCTATACTTGGAGATGTCAATCTTCAAAGTCTCGGGTCGACGCGAGTGCATCGACCCACCAGCAGCAGCCTGCTGCTGTCTCAACAGTTCAAACTGTTGGCACCCTGTTCTCTCAACAACTCTGCTTGTTGAGAACCTTGTTGGTGAAGCAAGGCTACTTTCTCGCGTTCTGCGTCAAGTTCATTTTGAATGAACTTGGCGATAGTAGCATGTTGGGCATCTCTATTGAGAGCCTCTAGCATGACGCTAACAGCATGGATGCCCATGGTCGAACCTATTCGTTCAACCGCATCCCATTCGACATCGCTCAAATGGGAGTAGCCGTCACGCGTAGCGTGAAAGCTTTGGTCATCTTCATCATCCAACATATTCATGTTGGATGTGAACGCGGTCCTTGGACGGACTACGAAGTGCTACCAGGTGTAACGGGGCACCCTGAAGCTTGTACTGGTGACAGTACAAGCTACTTATTCTGATGACAGAATAAGGCGGTGCCTCGTAACTTCACGGACACTCGTACGTGCAGAGGAAGACGGTAAGAAGAAGCGAGTACTTGGTTAAAGTAAAAAGTAGAACTGTATTTATAATAGTTAATGTCTGCAATAAATCACTATTTATCTTCATCTAACTATGTCTAAATACAAATGTGTAAATCAGTTATCTGCTCACCACTCATTGCGTGCGTCTGTCGTGGCGTGTCTTCGTTGGTTGATATAATGGCCTATATCAACCAATTAGGAACTACTCGTAAGTGCTACAGAATATTTGTCCTTGTGACAACATTCTGAGAATATAACTCTTATAGTTATATTCTATTAACAATTTCTTATAAATTGTTATGTAACGATTCACCCCGTTACATGACCGGTCAATCACTAAAGTGCCGGAAGTTAGTAGAGTGCGGGAGTAGCATGATATACTCAATGTCAGTCTTTTGTCAACTGAGCATACAAAAGAGGCTGATGTCATCGAGGTGAACATATAAACGGTGTTGTGCCTTGTCGAGAGGCAAGGCGGAATTCTATAGCGCAACACACAATCTTTGTCAGCAGAAATATTGGTGAAATCTTGAATGTTTTCCACGAGAACTTATAAATGAACGCTATCTATTACAGCCACGCTATCTGATTAGAAGTTTGTTAGAAGGATAAAAAGGATGCCTTACGTCCTACTATACTCAAGTTGACGCATACATATAAATTCACATCTTTAGTCGTTTCTCAATTCTCATTGAACAGCCGTGCTCGAACCCGCCCTGTCGGTGGTGCTGCGTATGCGGTTCTTCCGCGGGGGTTGGCGCTCGCGGCCGCCAATTGTGGGTTCAGACAGCACAGGGAAGACACGAACGCATCTGTACATCGTAGGCCGCGGCCGTAAAAAAGCTGACAATCGGTGCTGATTTGTTGTAGATGATGGTTTTGGTTTTGTCATCGTTTCTACGAATGTAATTGCCTTTTAGTGTTTTATCTGTTTGTTTGTGATTTTCGTTTCAGTTCCTACTGTTTTGTTGCTTGTGTCGTTTTTGCAGGTGTCGTTATTCATGCTGCCGATGTTGATGCAGCCATTTAGCTTTTGTTATTGCAAGCCGTTTATGTTGTTCTTGTTGCTTCTGCAGGTGTTGGTGATGTTGCTGTTGCTGTTGCTGCTGTTGCTTTTTTTTGCTTTTTTGTATATGCTGCTGGAGTTGGTGTTGTTACTGCTGCGGGTGTTGCTGCTGTTGTTATTGATGTTATTGTTGCTGTTGTTGCTGATGCCGTATTTGTTGTTGTCGCAGTTAATTTTATGTTGTTATATTGGTGTAACTATTGTTTTTGCTGTTGCTACTTCTGTTACCGTTCTTACTGTTACTACTCTTTTGTGGCATTGTTGGTACTACAGTGCTGCTGACGCATTTGTTTTAGTTGTCGAATATGAATTTGCTTCATGCTCACGAGCTCTAGTTTTATTAGCAAGTAAAACCATTTTAATCGGTGATCATGAATCCGTTCTATCAGTTTGACACTTATTTTATTTATTCGAATGCCTTCAGCTTTCTTCGACTACAGGCGCATTGCAAGCAGGAAAATATACAAAGATGCCTCAAGTATAGTCTATCAAAGTTGTTTTTTCATTTTATTGCTAAAAAGCGTTAATTCATAGGTTTCATCCGGACTTTTGAGATGGACATCACAAAAATGTGAATCTGAAATGTCACTTATGCTGGATTATATAAGATAGTGCTGTCTTAGCTTTTCGGGTGCACAAAGCTGTGTTAGATATGAAGGCACGATTTAAAGCAATATAAAACCGATACCATTGCTGATTGCTACATGGTAGTGCTATTGCCTGGATAAGTAGATGCTGTTGAGAGTTACCTCCACGGACAGCTTGATGAAAAAGCAGATATCAAGAGATTTGACAACAAGCACGACATTCGATCTGATTTACATTTTGACAAAATCCAGCATATGTGTCATCCTTTAAATGAACAAATAAACTTTGCATTGAAACATATGGTTCGGCCTTTAACAATGTCTTATCAGTTTGTCGTACCGTATTCGTCAACAGTTGGCATGCGGATCCCGAACCTTCATCTCTGGTGCCACGCCACGTGCTGCATTGTTACGATGTGCTACAGAACTCCTTGACGTTTTCTTACAAAGTAAGTTGGTGGTAATCAATGACTTTTTAAGGGCCTAGACAACCACTAGATTCGACCCAATTTTTCTCTACGGCACCCAGCTTGCCATTGTCCTTTGCAAAATGTTGACGGAATGTAGCATTGTAACGCGAGAATAGCATACGCATCTTTCACTATCACGGTAAATTTCCACGGTAATCGAGGGTTTATCTGTAGAGTAAGTCAGACGTGTCAGCATATCGCGTGTGATTGGTGATCATGATAGATTAAGTCCTTTTTTGAAGCACAATGTCGATAAATGTGTACCACATTAACTTGAGCATAAAGGACGTGGGTTATTTTTTATCCAGCTGACTGGGGCATTTGTTATTTTCCTTTAAAAATATACAGTTTGTGCGAGCGACACTCTTTTATAACACATGGAGATAGAAGCGTCGCTTGTGCATCGATACGCGGACGCGCGTTTCATCCATGTGCTACTCGGTTGTGGAGTTTCACATTGAATCCAAATACGTACAGGTTGTACTAGCACAATTTTTTAATATTTTACACCTGCTGATAACTTAGGATTGTGGAGGTACTAAATACTTACGACAATCTTTTTAATCAGCCATTCACCGATGGAGGTACCTTGAAACCGGTACGGGTGTGTGAAGACAGCAAAACTTGGCTGAGAATAATCATTCCCGAAGAGGAAAGGTCTAACCTGATTTAAAACCTTGCACATAACTGTACCCAGTCACTCTTCATCCAATAAATCGAAAGCAAGTAATCAAAAGTGAATACAACGCGCATCGTACTTAAGGAGGAATTTGCATCAGTAAGTACCATAGAGAGACGGACGCGCGGTCCAGATCATCGTCATGCCCTCTCCCTCGGTAGACTTTGTCAAAAAGAAAAGAATCAGGATAAAACACTGTGTACAGAAACGCGGGTCAGATGCGCCCCCCCCCTCGCCGGGGTATCCACTACTACCTTTATTAATCGGGGAGCGGGCTCTGCTCTACCATCGCTAAATACTACGAAGGACCTTGTAATAATTAATTTAATCAACTAACCACCTCAAAATTACTTCTGCGACTGACATCTGTGTCGCTGACCAGGAAAAGAGAGTACGCGACGACAACTCTCTTTACTTCAAACGAAATCATATAGCTTGGCTATTTTTTAATAGGTCAGAAGTTCCTTAGGATGGCAGGGTTGTTGGTGGTGTAATGGGTCATATGGCCAAGGATAACCGAAAATTATGCAAAATACAAAAAGTTATTGCATTCATTACTTGGATAAATCACATTCTTGTAACTCATTACTCATACAAATCATACAGTTTGAGCTCCACCTAGCTCGTACAATGGTCTCTAGCTCATAGAGCATAATTTAAGATAAAGGACTCAAAAGCATTTTTCCGGGGGACAAAAAAATCATACAAGAATACTCTTAAGCCACGGCAATAATTTACCGTATGAAATTGCGCACATTTGTTGGAGACGAAAGATATAAGTGTAAAGAAAGAATGGAGCCAAAAAGAATTATGGGTGCCCTGAGAGTGTTTATCATACGGATGGACATCTGAAGCTCACGAATACGCCCATGGAAAACTCCATCATCCGAGATCGAAAAATTAAAGACGGAATTAGTAACACCTAGAGTTTTAGTGTTTTGCATCTTGCTGGTCTTCACCCTTTCCAGGTTCTTCCCCCTTGGTCATCCTACTGTTCAGCCTTCTGCACAATCTCGATAGTTTCATTTTCATCTATCTTCAGGTGTGCTGCATCATCCTACTCCGAATAATTAATCAAATTAAATATGTAATAGGGATTGCTGACAGGAATATCTATGATGGCATCCTGCAACTAGCTTTCAACTACTGCTACTACTGAGTAAAAACAGAGGGCAGGGGCTAGATCTCATATAGAACAATATGGTTGAAATGTTTAGACAAAGTTGAAGCTGAATTTTCTTTCCACGCCTTTACACTCCGTTTCAAGCCGGTCACCTGGTCAAACTTGTAGAAGTTGACACCACCCGCTTTCGTCGCGGTGCACAGCACTTCAATCTGGCGTGTGTAGTGGCGCTTAATAGCAGTGATGATTACGGCATCCATGGGATGGGTTTTGGTGGTAGACCTGAGGGACTTAAACTGCACGTCTCCAGCTCTAGATCATCGGATGTTTGGGATGATATGACACACCTGTGGCTTGCAGAGGGGTGATCGGTCCGCTAGAATCGCTTGAGAGGGTCTTGCGTAGTTGCATGTAAGGCTGAGATTATATTATATACCACGTTACTCTACCGTGCCTAACCGAATGCTTCATCTTGTTCCATTGATCCATCGACCCATCCAGCAGATTTTTCCCAGCTAGGCGTTGAGGAGTCGTTAAGTAAGATCCATACAACATCAATCAATCATATGTCTCCAACATCAATCAATCATGTGTTATACTCCCCCATGAAGCAACGAAACAACACCTTTCTCTTACTGAACTGGAAAAGAGTAATGCAGTGTCAAAAGCGTTTATTGTGAGCTGCGGTTTTTCAATATAAAACCAAAATTGAATACCCTACTCACTTACCTTCATGTCGGTGTCGAATTTCTTAGTCCACTCTTTCAATAGCACATCAGTCATCCAGGTCTTCTCGATGTCCAGATAATATAACCCTAGACGACTTCAGACTTTTAATAGAAACTGAAAAAAATTATTGCTTTCTCAATATAAAGGCTAAGTTTTTCAGTTCCATCCGCATTGGTCGTGAAGGCTATAGAGATCTGCTTATATGAAAAGGAAAAAAATTGTTTTGAACTAAAAGCAGCCAAGCCTTAACTCATTTTTAGGAATAAAATTAACGCTGACATTCTCTATCGTGATCCCTTTGAACTCTTACTGCATAACTAACCCTTTTAGAACTATTTTGTAGAATGAGCCTCAAACATTTACATCATTGTACAGCAAAAAATGAATCAATATTATTAATCTCACACACAGCAGCTTCGTCCATGTGAATAGCGAGCAATTACAGCTAGAAGTCAAGGCAATGCTGCATTTATTGCTTTCTTAAATGCGGTTTGATGTCACCGCGAATCCTGATGCTGCGCAGCTTCTTTCGCTTCTGGAAACGTTGAAACTATCCGCTGGACAAACGGGGTTACACAAATTAATGTGACAACCAGGTGCGTTGGTGCGGTACACGCAAAAATAGATCATTATCACAGATATGGCGTTCTTTTGTATCACTTACGTTAAGCGATTATAGCGTTCCCTATCGGTTATGGTTAGATAATGGGTCTATCCTAGCAAGGTCTTCATAAAGGTGACAATAGTTCTGGTGTGGTACACAAGAAGAACCACGATGAGGACTATTCGATTAGGTATCATTGTTACTATTTTAAGACGTAAGAAAGGTTTATTATCGCTACAAATCAGTAAATATATTCAGTTCCCCTTTTCATCCGATTCAGACACGTGTTTCTTGCTAAGACGTCTCTGGTCGTAAGGAGTTAAGTGCCTGAGTTAAGGCCAAGTACTCTTAGGCATTGGTGCTACGTGATTCCTTGATATTGAGTCCCCTACACCAGTACTAAATCTAAAGAGCTAGTACGTACACTTTATGTTAGGTCTCACTAAGTTCGTAAGACCTATCCTTCTTAAAAATTTTGTTCGTTTTGTTTGACATAATAAGAGACTATTCGCGTCTAAAAGGCTTCGTCTGACAAAGGAGTGAGGGTACCTCTGCTACTCCTGGTAACACTTGTTGTCAATCTACAAATAAGTCTATAAAGACTGTCTTTAGTAAGGATGGGAACAATGATAAACCTCTCTGAGGCTTATAGATTTGTGATAGAGAAAATTAGAGCGCAATACGTGAGGGAACAAGTGGATTTGATCCTCACACAAGGTCATGACGCGATTTGCTCACGTCTTAACGCTTTTATGCAGTTTGTTTCCACTTTGATTGGGTAACTAAATGACCTTTAGGCATCGGATATGACTACTCGTTATGTTTCCGTACTGATGAAGAGCCAAGGGATTGCTCCCTTGTCTTGACTGTGGAGAACTTGAAAGAAAAAAAGGGAGAATATTCTCTCGTGTATCAGAGAGGTAAAAAGTACACATACTCCATTCAGCTCCGGTTGGAGCAACAGCGAGTTGGTTCGGCTATCTTAAAATTGGTTGGTAGAGCCAGAGACTATGCCTATACGTGTAGCACGTCGGTAATCATGGCTTTCTTCAAGTTTTGCTAAAACAGCAAAAAGCCCGGGTGTTTGATCTGCCTAACCAGGCA